CAAGGAAAGCAGCGTCCTAATTTTTTGCATGTTTAGGTTTGTGATAAATACTTAGTATTTAGGACAACTTTTACATGACAAAGTCCATTGCTGATTATACAAAAAGGCAGGCATGAGCTTTCTGTGTCTGAAAGGAATCTTCACTAAAGAAAATAAATGGGAAGTCCTGAAAGGTAATTGATGTATTCCTTAAGCACAGTGAAAATCTAAAGATATTGTAATAATTGATGAATTTTCATTTCTGTGTTCTTCTGCAAACAGAACAGCTGTAGAAACAGCTGCATAAACAACTCTTGTATTACAGTTGTTAGTACTACAGGTTCAATTCTTTTTTAAAAGTATGTTTGTCATGCTGTGCACCCAGATGATAAAAGCAATTACACAACTACTCTGCCAAGGCTAAACATGTCCTCTTTATGGTACTGTCCTGCTTTTAAACAGAACTCGTTTGTAACATTATAATGGTTAGTAATCATTGCCTAGACTTCTAGAATAAAGATGTCTAGCTAGACTTCTAGAATACAGCCCCCAAAACATTAGATTATAATGTAACAGCATTTAGATGAAGATAATTGAAGGCAGGAGAGGGCTTGCAAATCACTGCTGCAAGATCAGGTGATTAATCATGTCAATAGCTTCTTTTTTCTGATACTTACAACTATAATGATGTAATTTGTAATTTTAGTCTTTTAAATAAGCCAGGCCCTAGCAACTAAAAAAAAAAAAGCTATATTTTTTGTAATTATGTATCTCAGCACTTACTATTTCTAGTCCTTCGACTAGAGCAGCAATAGATATCCATTATGGGACCTAAAGAGTCACCAGTGGACTCTGATCTCTTCAGTACAACACAAAGAGAAGACACAGTCTCACCCCTACATATATTTAAGTGGTCACTTGACCACATTCAGCAGAAGACATCCCTGCAGATAGGCTTCAAGCAGTCACTTCAGCCAAAACTCATCAACCTTTGTATGTAAACCACAAGTACAGAGATCAGCAGTTATTTAATGTTCTTGGAAGAACACAATTTAAATAAGAGTTTTATAAATTTCTTTTGATGTGATTATTTTTCTTGTGCTACTTGGCACGGTTCCACTGGGCTTGAAATAATTACAACAAGGATTAATTCTGCCTTTCTGTATGCTTTATATACACCCCTAAAAAAGGTGTTATTTTTTCTTGTTTGCACTTCTTTGGAATGTGCGAGGCTGACACTTTTTTTTAATAATAAACAGTGATTTAGAAGTTAGAGCTAAATCTAGTCAAAACTGTCAGTTCATAAGGTGTGAAGAGACTCCTTTCACCTCGAAGTTTTGTAACATTTTGATGCTCATCCAACAGCTCCTAATCCACAAATCTTATATGAGAATCTTGGTTCTCATTAAATTTAAACTCACAGCATTGCAGACATTGCAGACAGAAAGAAGAGGGGAAAGGGAGAGATCCTACTTCTTCTGATTACAGAGAAATACTTAAAATATTCCACTAAGCGCTCTACATCAATACCCAACAAGTCCCAGATGCACTCCATTTTATAATGGTCATGTTCAGACAGGGACTTTTACGAACACCTGTAACCTACAGAGATATCCACACTGTTACAGAAAATGAAAGAATTGAGAGGATCTCAGAGCAGAGACATCAGAGCCAGGAAGGCTAAGCACTGCCCTCAGCACAGCTCACATTCAAACACAGGTACTTTTGATAACCAGAATGCCAGGACAGTGAGCAGCACTATGAGAGGAGAGGTGCTTGTGGACACTCTTTCCCTTCCACACTCTGAAAATGCCTGTATACATAAAACAAGCAGTCAGGCGATTCAGTGATGGATCCACATGAAGGCATTATGATGATACAGACAGAATGTAATCTGCTACATCTCTGACAGAAGCAACAACCCCAGTCAATACTTCAAATGATTTTTTATTTTGCATCTCTGCTTACTACTCTGTATTCAGCATAGTTTGTACATAGTTTGTTGGATATCTTTTTTTTTATCATGAGACCCTTTGCCCCTGTATTTATAGTGATGCACTAATGTTGAATCAGACATGTCCTGCTGCACTGTCTTGTTAATACAAAACATATCTTCAGCCTCAGTCTTCAAGTGGAAATTCAGTATTCTTGACAAATTCTTCAGCAATTCTGTTTACAAAGTAAATCCTACATCTCTCAGAATCAAAACTTGTGTTCATTCAAAATAAGCCCTGTCCTTCTCTGAGCCACAATCTCCCTCCATAGCCTTCTGCAATAACACTAAATCATTTCCATTCCTCATTTTAGACATCCAAATGTCACTAATTGACTTTCACCATCTATGGGATTACTATCCGCTGTGTCTGGTATAAAAGCAAGGATGTGTCACTTAAGCTAAAGCTCAAGTAGTATTTCTTGCTGGTTAGGTTGCAGCCTTTTTGGATAACTTAAATAAGGCCTTAGTCCTGCAGATCTTAGACCTTACACCACCAGTTCTAATGGGACCAGAAGCAAGGCTTCAGATATTGGAGACGACAAGGCAGAATTTAAATTCCCAGCTCTCTTTCAACTTTGTTTAGTTAAGTAGGTACTGAGTCTATAAATTAATAAAAGCTCTAGACTTTTTGACCTTTTTTGACCTTTTTTTTTTTTAATTAGTTTTCTGCCTTTTTTTTACACCAGAATGTAAAAGACTCACATCTGTCTGTTTAGGACAGAAAATTTTAACACAGGATAGATAAACATCCTCTTGTAGTTCAGTATTGCTCAAATTTTATACATCATGCACCGCTTTCAGTATATCACTCTTCATTAGCAGACAATGTAACAAAATCACTGTCAATGAGCATCTAGTCTTTAATCAAACTCCTACATTTTATCTGCAAGAATATGCTGTGCATCTGTAATAAATTCAATTTCCAACATTGCCCATCTTTTTGCAACTTGAACATTTAATAATGCCAGCTCTTCTTTCCCGAAGGAGAAGGCTCTATGGAAATGTGGAACTTTGCTCACGTATCAAGTTTTAGTCATATGTCAATCAGTTTATCTTCATTAAAATGCCACTACCTCTGAGTAAAATAACAGCATGTGACACCAACACTGGACCAGTCTGAGGAGAGGAACTGTGTAATGCTTTTTTGGAACAGCACAAGAAATTTAACCACTGAGAACATAACTTAATAAACTGGAATTTGGACAGCACTCTGAAAACCCATCACTGTCTATGCAAAAAGTAAAGCACTTGGAGGTTCTGAGGGTTGATTTAGGCAGTGGAAGTAATCCACGTGCAATCCCACTTTGCCCTCAAAGTGAGACTAGACATGGACCAATCCTGTTTTTGAAATTATATAAATGCAGAAGTGTTGTGCTGCCTCCATTCTTGTAAGGTTTAACTCTAAACAGTAACAACTGCTGACCTTGTTTAGCTTCTGAAGACCTGGCAAAAACAGTTGAAAGCAGCTTGGATTTTTTAATGGATCTGTTGAAATATCTCTCCCAGATAACACAGACTTAACATGGAAAATTCTGCTTAGGTTTGTCTTCCATTGTCCCAAATTGCAAGTTTGAGACCTGAGCAAGTTGCAGAGGCAGGCAGGTAGAAACCAGTGACATATACATATAGCAGTGATAGGTTACAAGCTGAGGAAGGCAGAACAAGTACATTTAACACACAATCTGGGTTGAGTGGCATCAGGAATCCTGCCTTTCTCAAATTTAGCAGTGCAGAATTGGTTCTAAACCAGATGGAGTTTTGCAAGGGAATTTCTATGAGGGATGTTACCTGAAAGGACTACTGCAAAGCAACATCTCAGAGATGCAGTCATGCAAGAAATGGGTCCTAAAGAAGAATTTCCTTTGCTTTAAGACAATTACTGTCCTTCCAAATTTCTAATGTTTAGTAGGATTTTACTTAGTAAAACTGTGTATTTAACTTTGTCTGTTGTTTGACCCGGCAAGAAGATCTGCAGGCTCTTACCAGTTGCAAGATTTAGTAGTCTTCAATCAGATTTCAGGATGTTCAAGCTAAAGTCATGGGTTTTAGCTCTTGCAGTACCTGCCACAGGGACTGCATATAGGCAGTTTTTAGCCCTTTCACTGTTTGTCTGTACTCTGTTTGACCAGGCAGTCCAAGGACGCAGATGGAGAACTTGCTCTTGCCTTGTCTCCTCCTGGCATGGCACCACTAAAGAAGAAACTGGAAGAGTGACAACTGTCTGTGCTCAGGCCCAGAGGAAGCTGACAAGTCTGCTCAAGAAACAGACTGAAGACATGTAGTCAACAGATATTCTCCACATGGGATAATCACTCAGCAGAAGTCAGCTGTTTTAACATGGTCTTTATCCAATAATGTTGATCTGTTTATGCCAATTCTATGTGCTTTGGCAGGAGATGAGAAAAATTATGGACACAGTGTACGGGAACGTTCACTGGGAAAATGGAAAAAACCCATTTCATTATGGATTAAAGTTTTATCAGTTTCATGGTTAAGGTTGTACTGATACTTCTTGTGTCCACAGACTGATCTGACTTATAGATAACTATTTATAGAAGCAAAAACCTCTTTCCTGGTACTGATAACCTGTCTCCTTTGCCTGTGCAGGTCCAACAGTACCCATGTGACAAGGTGAAGGAAACACGAAACTCTCCAACTCTAGGCTACACTGGCTGAGACCCCTTTTTTTTTGGTTCATCAAGGGGGCATGTCATGTCATCCCTGACCCATGCACACAGCAAGGTCACTGCATGCTCTCTCCCATGACATAACTGTACCCATAATGGACCTTGCAAACCATTTTGCCTGTGGCTGCAGTACACTTTTTCAGGTGCTGGTGCTTAGTTGGTGCTTAGTTTCTGAATCCCCTCCAGGTGTATGTGGCTTCCATACCTAATGACTTATGTGCCAGCAGGACCCTGATGCAATGCAACACACACACCCCCGCTGTACCCTCACTGAGCCAGGCCTGGGGGACACCCCCAAAATGCCTCTACCACCCTTCTACTCCCGCCCAGTGTCCTACCTGGCATCAGCTGCACTGCTGCCTCGGGGGTGATGGTGGGCGCTGCCTGGGGCTGCTGCTGGCTGGAGCTGACCTCAGGGTCGGCACCCAACGAGGGTGAGCCGGCCAGCTCACCACCCGGGGCCAGCTGTGGGGTGGACGGCAGGGTCTCCTCAGCAGCCGCCGGTGGCTCCTCCTGACCAGGCAGCTGTAGGGCTGAGAGTGGGATGCTGATGGGTTTCCCAGCGGTGGTGATGGCATTAGAGCTGCTGGCTGGCACCTGCAAGGCAGCCACAGGGCCACCGCCTGCCCCCCATGCCGGGGAGGCGAGAGGTCCCCGGGGTGGCCGCTGCGAGGCCATGCGGGGCGGGCCAGGCGGGGAGGCGCAAGGGCGCGGCGGGTCGGGCTCGGGGCCTGCGGCTGGCTGGGGCACGGTTCTGGTGGGTGCCAGGCAGGAGGGCCCTGCCGGGGGCTGCAGCTTGGGCTTGGACATCTGCATCAGGGCCAGGGCCGGCCCATCGGCGCCGGCCGTCAGCTCCGCGTTGGCCACTATATAGTAGTCCTCAGGGAGCTCCTGCTTGATCTTCTTGAGGAGCACGTCACCGCTGCCCTCGTCGGCGGCCTGGGCCTGGGGCTGGGCCGCGGCTGCCGGCCGCTTGCGGGGGCCGGTGGGAGCACGGTGCGGGTGTGGCTCAAAGTCACTGTCCTCATCGGTGACAGAGGACTCACAGACCATGTCAAAGAGGGTGGCCTCATCCTCGTACTCCTCCACAGGCTCGCCCAGGTCTGACGGCTCACTGCAGTAGGAGAAGTCACAGGAGTCACGAGTGCGGGTGCAATCCAGCTTGGCTTTCCCCGGCCGGCCTGGGTAGCGCTCCAGGGGGCTGGCCTGAGCCTCTGATGGCACCCCCAGCATGCTGGGGCTGTCCGAGTTGAAACTGCGGCTGTCCTGGAAGCAAACACGCTCCTGGGAACCGGCCCGGCAAGTGGCAGCCAGGGGCCAGTGGTAGGCATGGCCAGCACTACAGCCCCACATGGCTGTCAGGTTGCCATTGGCCCCCTCGGAAAGCAGGTGCTTGAGGTTGGGGATGAGGCTGCAGATGGTCCCATGGCTGTGGGCCCAGCTCACCAGCTTGGAGAGGTTTTCGGAGGAGGTGTGAAGGCAGTCCTCCATGGTACAGGATCAACAGCGCCTGGCCGCTAGGAAGTCAGCTGAAGACACAGTTCAGATTACAGGGTCTTGGCACTGATGGTCGTGTGTTGCCAAGCTCATATTTACTTCTTACCTGCAGAGAAACAGAGCAAAACCCCACTCTTCAGCACTCCTAAAGCATGACCATATTTGCATGGGAAAATGAAACATTTGTACATTCAGCTAAACCCACCCATTTCACCCGTATCTCATGTCCTACAAAATATGCCTCAAAACTACGCCTGGTCTTAAGCAGCCACATTCCTCATTCTCAGAACATCTCTGCAACATACAACTGAAGAGAAAACTGCTTTTCGCACAAGACAATTCAGTATCAGTAGCAAAATTATTAGAAGCTTAAATCTCTGACAAAATATAAAAGCAGCCCAAAAGATGGTGACTGTGCGTTCATACCTAGGAAATGAAAATTAAACAAAATCTTAACACATACAATTAATCTTGAACACCGGGGTGGGAATCAAGCACCAACTGGATCTGAAGAAACAATGAAGTTTTACATAATTTCTGAAGATTTCTCAACTGAATCAAATATCTCCTTTTCAACTGAATTTAAGAGGTATCAAAAGGAAGGCTTGAAACTTGAGCTTTCAATACAAGGAATAAACAAACAAGCTCACCTTTCACTGTTCTATACTAATAGTCATCAGTTGCTCAAAGACTTAAGAGACTCTTAAAGGGCCTGCTTTTTATCATACTGTCCATTTTCCAACATCTAAATCATGATTCAGTTCAAGAAAAACTTTTGCAATTTTAATCAAAACTATTTAGAAATTTGCCATACAAGATGACAGCAAAGTCTGCATGTTTTTCTTTGTATACAGCTAATGACAGAGAAGTAATCTCCAGTGACCTCGGACAGCTAAAGTATCTGTGAACTTCTTCTCATTTCTGCAAGTCTGTTTGGAGCCTCTCCCTAACCCTCTCTCTGCTGTGCATTGTGAACATGACCTGCAAGCCTTGGAGTTCCTGTTGTTCTCATTTCACTTTTGTTTTCTTATAGAAAGAAAAGCCCATTACATTTGTCCCAGATCAAATGAAGTATCCATGGCAATGTTATACCTCATTTTATTCCTTGTCTTCATCTACACAAGCATTTTTAGATACAAAATGAACTGCATCAAGGCTCAAAAAGACAGCCGCACAGTGGCTAATTGCCCCTGGGTAACGCTTTCCCTAAAAATCAACACAAATTACTACCTGCCTACCTAGTTGCTCCTCAGTCACCTACAGATATCTGTGTTTGCTCTGCTGCCAAGGGAGATGAGGAGGCTGCGTTTCAATGATTTTGTAGCTTGCATATCCCTGCCCCTTCACTCCTATTCACCAGACAAGGGTTGGCCTGTGGAAATCAAAACTGGAAATAAAATACACAAGTACTGCCTATGACTTTCCCCACCCTCCTGGGTTTTTTCACCTCACCCACTGTGAGTCTTTGGTGGGGTCAAGAATGGAGCCAGCATGGGAATTTCTAGAAACTTTAATTTCTAGGTATTTTTTCAACATCTTTGCAATTAAGCATGGAGGAAATGAATGAACAGGAAGAAGCACATAATTAGGAAACAAAATCGTATAAAATTCAAGTTTGTTTTTGCAGCAGCTCAAGACAGAGTGCACGCACAGAGAACAACTGCTACAATAAATTGAATTCTAGCCCACATGCAAACAGAGATCTCAGAGCATCACCTGCAACACATAGCTCCTTGCATGACCAGTGCATCTGTGAAGTATAATACACGCAAGAAGGTCCCTAATTTGCAAGTCTTTTAGGCACAGGAGAAGACCTCCTTTTTCAAACATACGACTTTCAAATATCTAAAACTTCTTTTTTGTTATATTTTATTTGTTTTAAAGCTTTTAAAGATCATGCTCAAGAGGGGTCAAAATCCCTGTTTCTTCTAAGAAATCCCTGTTTCTTCTAAAAGACTAAGGAATCCATGTTTCTTCTAACACTCATATTCAAAGATATGTACTTACAATGTACCCTGCCACAGAAGAAACACCAAAACACAGGAGGAGGAACACCATAGTCATAGCAAGGCAAAGAAGACTATCTGGGAAGTGAACGGGGGAAAGGAGGGAGAGCTAATACAGTCAGAAGATGCATCTGAGTAAACCTTGTGTGGTATCATGGAGCTGCTCAGTCACCACACAACCAGGAATGTATCTTGGGAAGACAGACAGCCCCATTTGGCTAAAGGATCACTTTCCCCTTAGGGAAATGTGATAAAGTCTGCCACAGTCTGACTGCCAAGGTCAAGATTGCGTGTGCAGTTATTCAGTAGCACTGTGTCTTCAGTTTGCCAACTGCAACAGAAGTTGCAAATGGCAGTTTGGGAGGGAGGGACTCATGCTGTAGAAAGCACAGAAAATGTATCATTATGTCCCTGGTTTTCTGGAGAGTACCTTGTCTGCTCAGTCAGCAGGATCCTGGCTGACAATCTGCTCTTGTTTTCTAAATCACATTTTAGAGATTATGTAAGTACTTCATTCAGACTGGCAAGATCTGATAAGATGACTCATGCTTAATAACCTGATAACATGGTAAGTCTGAAATCATACAGTAACATGATGTAGTTTCCATGCAATCTACACTGGTATTTTAACTGCATTACAGATGTCTTAATCTTCCACAGCATTTTTTTGCAGTTCAGAGCCTACAAATATCTAAATCAGAGCGAAGCACGTCTGGGTGCTGGAAATTCACTGCGGCTATCTGGACTGTCAAGGAAGAGTTGAATTTTACAGCTTTTTTAAAATTTTACAAACTCATTTACAACGTACCAATACAATGACTAATGTGGACAGAATGTGTGCTGTGCAAGAAAGTGGTATTACTGGAAAACCATGCCTTGAGATCTGTTAATGCATTAAGGGGAACACCATTTGATTTAGGAAAGGCAATATTTTCTATATCCAGAACCAGAGTTTTGCCATAGTAGATCCATTTGATGACCAAAGGACAATGAAAAATAGCAACATTTAAAGAGTAGCCCTCCTTCATGTTCTAAGATGGGACTTGGCTTAGCTACTTTAATGCAGACAAAGCTCTTCCTGATTTTGCACAGAGCAGTAGCAAGAGCCCCCTTGTTATGAAAGGCCCTTGCACCAGGCAAGTCCCAGGAGCAATAATGGTTGGTAGCTGCCCAACATGAACCCTTTCCTTTATCCCATGAAAAGAATGAACAAACACCATTGGGGAGCAGAGATCTGGCTACCTCAACTACATTTTATATTTTGGCTCCTTGCACATGAAAGTGATAGAGTTTTGGTTAGGACCTTATGGAATGTTCCTCAGACTCAAAAGGAATTCTGTGATATGGCTCTCTCAGAAAGGAGGCCAAAAGAGGTGAGGATGCCAAAAGAGGTGAAGGAACTAAATGCAAAAAATGGGATGATGCACTTCCCACGCCCCAGGAGTGGGAAGTGGGTGTCCTCCAGCAGTGCCCATACAGTGGAACATGGATTTGGTGGACCGATAGCTCAGAGAGGGTGATGGGTGCATTTTGTTGTAAAGAAGGAAAAAAATAATTTTGGGATTCTGTCCTCTCACAGAACCCCAGGTAGTTAGCAATGGATTGCCTCCCCAGGGTAATCACAGATAAGTTGATTCACACTAACTTGCATCACACATATCTATGTTTGAAACTCTATTACGGTTACTGATTATTAGTACTTCCATACTGATTTTTTTCAAGGGATCAATATAGCCAGGACTACATTAAGAGTCCTTTTGAGACATGATGCTAAGGCTGATACTACTGAAAATTTTCTAAAAGTTCAAGATTCTCAAATAAGAATACAATGCCAAATTTACTTCTGTTAGTAATAAAAAATAATTGTTCTAATCAGACAGCTGTATAAAAACTAAACCCTGAATACATTAAAAGTTGTAAAAAAACCTGCATTTACTCATTTTACATAACATGGATTTCAAACTAATCTTATAGCAACTGAAACTTGACTTTTAAGTGTTTTTATGGGAGAAGCAATTTTTTTCAGCTTCTACATTTAAAAAAAAGTCTTAGAAAGCATTTGGGCTCTGCATTCTCATACTTGCTAAAGAAGCTAAAAATATTTCCTCTGTTTTCAGTCTCTCCACCCTGTACAAACTTACTAGGCTATTACTCCATCACTGTCTTAAGGAGAAGCATTGCTTTATTTTTTGAAAGATTACCTTTCCATATTAAAAGATTTGGCCACCATAGTGGAACTATCTATCTAATTCAAGATCTTAGCTAATGGACAATACTGATGTTTCTCTTATTACTAGAATCTCACAAGCCAAATGTTTAGCCTTGATAGAGGTCAATAACAGCAGAAATCCCAGTGTAAATTCATCCACAAAGGCAGAGTAGTACTGAAGTCTTCACAAAGGCCTGCTGCAGTCCCACAGGCCCTGCCAGCCATCAATCCAGGATCACCTATATATTTCTCTTTTAAAAAGTAAGTTGCTGAAGTAAACTCAGCAGAAGCTGCAGCCTTGCCCAGATAGCACCTGCAAATGCTGGGGGCCCTAGCCATGCAACAGAGCACCCAAAATCACACCACTGCTAATCACCTTCTCTGCTGTCTCCTATGAGAGGACTCCTGCTCACAGTGGAGTGAAAGGTCAGCCTCTTTGACTCAGTGTTTTGATTTCTTCACTGATATTGCAAAGGAGGTAATCAAGATGACACAGGACCAGGACAGTCAACCAAAACAGACCAGCAAACTGGAAGGAATGGGGGTAGGTGAGTGCATTTTCTCTGATTTTTGGTTTCCGGAGTACAAAACTTCCATGTCAACTCAAATATTATTGCATTTACTTTCTGCTTGAAATAAAGGTTATGAAGCAAGAAGAAGCAGAAGGAGAGAGAGAAAGAAAGCACATAGAAAACAACGGCATTGTATAGGCAAGGTATGAATCAAGTAATTTACCCAGTTCACCACAGGGAGAAGGGGTTGACTTCCACCTCTGATACCAACTGTATATGGCTCCTTTTGTTTAGCAGGATGTGTTTTTAATTGAATATCTCTTCAGGAAAAAGAAGGGCATACAGTACAGAGGAAAGGCTTACAAATCCTGGCAAGGTC